CAGCCCCGGCCCCAGGTGAAGCTGGGGACACCACTACCACTGCTGCCCCAGCCAGCTCCCCACAGGAGCCAGCCCCAGAACAAGGCTCCGCAAGAGGACACTTGTGCCAAAGGAGCAAGAAACAAAGAGTTGCCCCCAATACCCCGCAGCAGCAGCACAGCGCCACACAGTTGGGATTAAAGCTTCTTTATTCCTACACCAACCCTCCTGCCTGCCACGGAGCATCCAGCCCTGCAGCCTCACAGTGGGAAACGACACATGGGATGGCAGGCAGGATTCCAAACCCTGCTCCATGTCCCTCTCCTTCCCCCTGCAGCTGCCTTTCAGGCCATGGCCACCTCTCAAACTGCTGGTTCCTCAGGGAGCTGAAGGCTCCGCAGCCCCAGGCTGGGCTGGAGACACTGTTTTGGATGGAGTGAGGAACTGGGGCCGGGCATTGGGAACGTTTTCTCATCCCCCATATACAGGAGCAGGGTTTATGTGTAAAACTTCATCTCTGCTTCCACGCAGTCGAAGAAGAGGTCAGCCAGCTCCTCTGGGCAGGGGGCCACTGTCCCCTCCAGCAGCGCATTCATCCCCTCCAGGCCCTGCTTCTCCAGGTCCCGCAGCATCTGCAGGAGCTTCTGGCCTTGCTCCTGGTGGCATCAGGGAGGGAGAAGAGCTGACACTGGGCACCCTCGAGGGGTTCCACTGCCTCCCACAGCACCGGGGCAGTGCAAGGGTCCGGGGCAGCAGCGCCTGGGGTAGGGACTGTGGTACCTGGTTGCTCTCCATCAGCTCCAGCGCTGCCTGATGCTGGTGGTAGAGCTCGTGCCGCCGATCCACCGTGCTCTGGAACCGCGGGATCTGCTTGGCAGGGTCATCACGGAAGGTGGGAGATCTCACCTGTGGCACGGGCTTGGGCCCGGCCACAAAGACAAAGGGCTTGAAGACAGACCTGCCGGAGAGGAGCACTCCTGGGACTGGGCAGCACGAGGGCAGGCACTGCTCCCTGGGGATGCTCAACGCGGGGCACAGCTCAGCCTCATCCCTGTCACCCCCAAGTGGGGCTGTCCTCTCCTTGTCCTCAAGGTGGGAGATCTCACCTGTGGCACGGGCTTGGGCCCGGCCACAAAGACAAAGGGCTTGAAGACAGACCTGCCGGAGAGGAGCACTCCTGGGACTGGGCAGCACGAGGGCAGGCACTGCTCCCTGGGGATGCTCAACGCGGGGCACAGCTCAGCCTCATCCCTGTCACCCCCAAGTGGGGCTGTCCTCTCCTTGTCCTCACCTGGAGGGGTCAGGGGTGGCCGTGAAGAAGTGGACACAGGG